AATATATATATATATATATATATATATATATATATACAGTATATATATATAAACAGCATTCCTCTACTGTCTTGTGAACACAATGCATTCTGGAACTGCCTTCTCCACTAAGACTACATACATCCTAATATAAGGAATGCATATGATGCCTTAAAATGCTGCCTAGGCAGCTCACCAGGTTTTAGAACAGAGCTATTATGTGCACAAGCGGATATGACTGATCCAGGCAGCAGACACACAGGTACGTCATGACTTCTATTTGCTGTAATACTCTGTTCCTTTGTTTTTCACTGGCTCTCCTAATAGAGTTTCTCCCTATTTTCCCTAAATGAGGTCATGAGCAGGAACCTGCTCTACAAGTCACAAGATGCAGCTGGCAAGATTATTCCACAGTGGCATAAACCAACAGACAATTAGACACATTTGTTTCTCTGTCATGGAGGAGACTGTACATTGCTTCTATTGTTTTAATACTGAGCTTGTGATATTTTCTATTCCCTTAGCCTAACTCTGAAAGTAAATGTTTTGCACTTTTAGATTTTCAGTTCAAGTCAAATTAAATTTTAATGCATATTTTTACTCTGACTGTGAATGCAAAATATTGTCTTGGACTTCCTCTAAAACAACGTTCCTTTTCCGCGGTTTTCAGGGGAGCTGCAAAGGGTGCTATCAGTTAAGTTAAAATGTCAAATCTCATTTTCCACCCACCATGTTGCCATCGAAATGTCCAAAAATTAAGATTTGTTTTCAGTAAACACTTTTTTTCCCATATACCATCACACACATTTTCAAATGTGAGATATGTAAACAAGTTCATCTATGCAAACAAGTGAGAGAATTCTTAAGAAATTGAATTTTTTCAATAAAGCTATTGCATGTAAAAATGCAGTGAAGTTTTTGTCTTCATTGCTATATATGTATTTTTTAAATGTATCAATATATAGCCACACATGGGTACATTAATATATTGCAGTATTGAAAAAAATAAGCACTAGGCCTATAGTTTTCCATATATGGAAATGTATCATTTAATATATGGCATTATATTTTCCAGTATATTCCCATATATATTTTTGTTTCATAAGCGTTTAGAGAGTGGGGCATATTTGTATGGCAAACCGCAATTCACAATTAATTTAAATGACTATTTTGTACATTTATTAAACTGTTTTCTTTCTGGTACTCCTGGCTCATCCTCACAGTGCAGCTGATTTCAGGTTTTGTTATTCTTGTGGTACATTTTGTCTCCACAGTGTAGGCAAAACATGACCCTCACACACACACAGGAACAAGGAACTTCATATTCTGTTAACAAGCAACTACAAAGTTATCTGTGGTCAGCACCCGCACTAACAGACAGAGAGAACAACAAATCCTAAATGAAGCACTTCCTCATTTTCCTGTGGGGCGCACTACTACACACATGATCAAAAAGACCAGTCCTACAAAGCCAAGTAACATCACTTCCTGCCAGGCCACGCCTGTCTGTGCTTCGGGCCGGTTTGCACGGATGTCGAGTGAGTGTGTCTGTGCGGAAGACGTGGGAGAGTGTGAGTCTAGTACGTGCTTGTGAAGAATGGCGGACGGAACTCAACCACGTTCATATAATGCAATGCCCATATATGTGCAAGTGTTTGCGAAACAGGAAGGTAGAGATGTCTTGAATGGGAAGGGCCTATAATAAAGAAATCATGAGGTAATGTAGGCCAAACGTGTAATTTCTCACTTTGACAGTGTTATTGTAATTTTATTTATATAATATTGTAGTATCAATTTGTTTTCATATTTTCAGTTTTTACTTTAATTTGTTTCTTATTTAGTAATTTTCTGTGCTGTTGTTATTTTTATTGTTTTTTAATATCTATATATATATATATATATATATATATTTTTTTTTTTTATATTCTAATTTTTATTTCAGTTTTTAGTACTTCAGTCATTTTTATTAAACTTAAGCCAGGTAGTTACTAAAGCAAGATCTCTAATTTCTAGTTTTTTAAAGTTTAAGTTTTTCATTTAATAATTACTTTTTTTATTATTTCAGCTTTATTTCAATCAACAACAACAACTATTAGTTAACAATAAAAACACACTGCTTCAAATGTTTGTTTTGAACATTCAACTGTGCCTCACGAGGTACTAAAACATGAATCAAGAAACCAAATTCCCCTGTGAAGGCCTAATTGTTGTCTGGAAACATAAACCAAGCAGTTAAATGGATATGTGATGTTCAAATGTTTGAGAAGGCATCTCACTAGGTTTCGAAACACAAATCGAACTTTCAAATGCAAAATGTTCAAGCGCACGTATGATGCCCAAAAATGTCATGAACCGCTTGATTCATATGGATTAGTTTTACGATCTCTTACGATCTCACTTTTTAAAGCATCAAAGTGGTAGTTTAGTAGACTGTCAATAGAGGGATGGAAATCTCCATTAACCTTTAAATGCATACCTCGGGTCTTTAGCGACCCGGGACATCATTCTCTACCCTCTCCCTCCTTCATTTTTTTAAGTTAGACATCAACTTTCTTAGTATTCCTCAATCTATTAATTATAAACAATATAACAAGAAAAAAATGGTAAAATATAAAAGAATGCCTGTTTTCTGATTAATTTTTTGTAAAAAGTGTATAGGGTCGCTAGAGACCCAAGGTAAGTAAATGTGTAAGTATTTTTTTCCTGCGCAACTATATTTACATATCTGATGACTCAATATGTGCAATGCATCTTTTTTCCTCAAGGTGGCACTGTTTGATACACAATGATGACGTGACGTTTCACTCATAATTACGGACAAACGAATATCATCAGCAAAAATTGAAGTGGTTTGAATGGCTTTACTGCAGAGCAATTACTATACGCAATGAAATATAAATGTCACTGTCATTTGATGCTGGATGTGGTGAATAAGCTGCCAGTGATCAAAATATTGAATATGAAGTCATTGAAAATGATATTTTTGAGAATATGGTTGAGATCGTGAATGTGAGGCAGATGCTGAATGTACTGTGCAAGAATGTACTGTCGCTGACGATGACAGCGATGGTAAAATCATCTCAAATTGAACCCTTTTAAGTTTCAAAAGGTAACGAAATATGCTTCATTTTATTCTTCTGTAATTGTTCTTAAAATATCAAGTGAGTTTTTTGCTATTGCAGCAGGTAGAGATCCATCTGTGCTGGATATATAGGTCCGGGTCGCTAAAGACTCGAATATGTAATAATGGTTGGTGAAACATTCATGCATTTAAGGGTTAAAAATATCTTCATTTGTGTTGAACGGAAGTATTACAGGTTTGGAATGACGTGAGGGTGAGTAAATCGACAATTTTCATTTTCCCATTAAACATTTAGAAGTCACGGTACATATGCTGCTCAAAAATGCTAACTAGGTAGGACACTCACTAGGTTTGAATCAATTTGTGTTATGATGCCCAAAAATGCTCTCCAAGTAGATGGTTTGAATGTACCTGAGAAGAGATCCTGCTCCTCAGAGTGAACCCCGTTGGTCCTGGAGCTGCTGCTGCCGGAGGAGGGTTTGGGGGCAGGTGCCGTCAAGGCTTCCTCAGCGAACAGATCCGTGGGGTCGTCTTTAACCTGTGGCTTGACCTTCACGTCTGATTTCACCTCTGTGAAAACATCAACAGGTGGTCCCGAGGGCTGAGGCTTCTTCGTCACAACTTTTGGCGGCTCCTTAAACAGATCCTCCTCATCATCGTCGTCACCGAACATCTCCGCACTCGCTGCTTTCTTGACGGAAGAGCTTTTGCTGCTGCTCTTCGGAGGGTCTTCAAAAACATCCTGATGTCGGGCTGCGTTTCTGTGCACTGGTGGTTCACCGAGGACATCAGACTTTGGCGCTTCTACAGGCTCGTTCAAGAGATCTGGCATGGGATTCTGGACCTCAGGTGAACTCATTACTTCGCTATCATCGTCCAGCGGGTCGCTGAACAGGTCGACGGCCTCATCGCTACTAGGAGAAGGGATCTTGGCGTCTACTTTCTTCTGGGGTTCAGAGTTAATGTTGCTAAGAGGATCGCTGAAGATGTCTTCTGGTGGCTCGTTGAAGATGTCTTTAGGAGGTCTGGTTGAGTCCGGTGACGGAGAATCCATCTCAGAAATTGACTAGGAACAGCACAGAAATGATATAAGCTTTTTTAATGCTTTAATGCTATTTAAAGCTTTCATTATTCATTGTGACAATAATTAGACACACCCTGTTTAAACTGTAAAATATTTATCATGTTAATGCAGATATTTGTTATTTCATGTTTCTTTGCATTGGAAATTAAGAGATTTTTCCAACCAAATTCTCATTATTATAACAGTAATTACATAGTATTTAAATTGTAAATATTAATATTGTTAGTATTTGTTATTTTTATGTAAGATATGTGCATTTGTACAATTGGCGATTTAAAATAAAATAAATAAAGCAAGCAAGCAAGCCTATTTCAGTACTTTTTTGCATTGAAAATCAAGCACAGTTTCCAACCAAAGTCTCATTACTGTAACAGAATTATATATTATTTAAACTGTAAAATATTTACCATGTTAGTGTTTGTAATTTGTATGCATTTCAGCATTTTTACAACTGGTGATTTGAAGTATATCAATATAATTGATTTCCAAAAGGGTGATTTTCATTACTGAACAAACGTCACATTATTTATTTTTTTTAAATGTAAAAAAATAAATAGACCGATAAATAAAATTGTCCCTGACAATGCTCCTAAAACTGGCTACTTTTTAAAATTATGTTAAATAATAATTCATATTTCCATTTTTGATTTTAGGGTTAAATATTTATTATATGCTATATATTAGACCTGCACATTTCTCGTGAGATTCACATAGTAAGTCATTTTGCAGTCGCTTTCATCCAAAGCCATCTGGATTAACCCAGGGTAAGTGCCTTGCTTAATGGCACAACGGGTAGAGCTCATGCTGGGTTCAAACCTGCAACCTTCAAGATACACCAATCCACCCTACCATGACTCACGTACAGCAACTGTAAATTCCTTCCCACACAGCAAAACCTTACCAAAATAAAAGCTTGCCAAGGGAAAAAAAAAGGCATTTAGACGTTCCCTCACATCTGAGACTCACATGATCACACCATCAGTACTTTGACCTGAAAAGACTGGAATTATTACACTAAGTAAATATTGACTGCTGGACACCAGCTCATTCATCAGAGACGGACCTGCCTTCTAATACACATATTTTAGTTTTGCTCTGCATGCATGCATGCATGCATTAATATTTTATATGTATAAAATATCTTAACTACAGTGCGTTGGGTGGTTTTGCATAAACAAGTTCACGTATTGTCACACTTCCCATATTAAACATAACACGTTTATTTTACACACTCTCTCTAACAGTGTGACTTCAGTCAGTTTGGAAAACTGGGTCACATTCCTTGTGATATTATTTAACGTTACCCAACTACAAGTGTCCTCCAAGAACTTCAGTATGTCACATGCAGGCCTAAACCCAGATCTATTTAATCCTGCGGAAGGACCAAATATGAGGTGATGCTGAAAAAAGACATCTTTATTAAATCGTTACGCAGATATGATCACAGAAAACTCGTATAAACCAGCAGAGCTGAAGATCTGCGGCTGAAGAAGAAGAATGGGCAGACCTGAGGGTGTCAGAGAAGTGAAAGTGATCGGCCTTCTTCTCTTACTGTCTTGTCTGTATGAAGTTTACAGCTAATTACCTTTGTGATTGCGTTTAGTTTTGTGACTTAACGTTACCGTGCCGGTGAACGCATCCGCTTCCTCGTCGCTGTCCTCCAGCAGCTCGGGCTCCTCTGAGTCCGGGAAAGGCGGAGGACTGCGCTCCGAGCTGGCCGCCATCTGCGAGAGATAAAAATGACAGAGCGCCATTAAACTTAAACGGGGAGAGAGAGAGCGTGGTAAACAGCGACGCCTGGTGGTCAACAGGGGCGTGGTTTGCGCTGTTGTGTCACGCTCACAAGACCACTCCCAAGTAATGCAATATAAAATATTATTCATACACTGATAATTGTTTTTAATAAAACCAGCTTGGGTTCAGTCGTTATGGATCCCTATATCTTTAAATGGAAAAAATCTGATTAAAAAACTATCATTAAATTTGAGGAAGTGCGCGTGAAAGGGGCGGGCCTTGGTGACGTTGACATAAACCACGCCCACCAACTCTTCTGTTTACAAAACTTGAATGTTTTGACCAGCGATTATGTAGTTTAAACTCATAAATAGTTTCATCTGAAATATTATTATGCCTCGACGGGCTCATGAAGACACAGAACCCCTGCTTTCATCCACTCATATCGACGAAGACGGTAAAATGCCTTATTATCATGTGAAAATGTGTTTAATATTACTCGATCTCGTGCGGTCTGTTATTGATTTTGATGGAGTGTTGTAACTTAGATGAGTACCAGATATATTTTCACCAGATATATAGACTATTAAATCTGGATCCAGCACGAGAACATGTTATGTACGAAGGTTTGTTTGGACACAAACAAGTACTGTAGTAGTACGTGGTACATCGATAGTCTTACTTAGAAATAGATCGAAAGATATGTGTGTGTTTGTGTGTGTATAATGATCCTATATATATATATACCAGGCATCCAGCAGAAAGAAACTTTCATATGAGGAGGCTGTTGAGAAAGCAGGTTAAATCAACTTTATTTGACCTTTATGTATTTAATGTGGTGAATAATTTGTCTTAAATGTAGTTTCTTATGTCCAGATGCAGTGGTCAGCGATCCTCATGTTTCTGTCTGTCTGCAGGGTTCGGGCTCTTCCACTGGCTGCTGTTGGTGGTCTGCGGCTGGGCGAACGCTAGCGATGCGGTGGAGATCCTGTGTGTTTCGTTCCTCTTGCCCACGGCACGCTGTGACCTCCTGCTGACCTCGGCCGACATGGGGCTCCTCACCTCCAGCATATTCCTTGGTTATTATCTGTGCTGCTTTCTTTTTTTTATTTGATTTTCTAACCAAATATCTGATCATGTTGCATTTTTAAAACTGAAAATTAGGCATTTGTGGTTCATTCATGGTGAGAAAATGGTTAAAGGCAAGACATGTTAATTTTGCAGTCTTAAACTGCAGGTCAAAGGAGGAATATCAAACATTTTTATCAAATAAATAAAGCAGGTCAAAAATGCAGTTTGTTCCCTATTTGGTTGAACTTTGTATTTTATTTGCCTTATCACGTGTCTGAAAACTGCAGAGTCATGCTCATAGTTTTTCAAAATTTTTTTTTTTACAAGAAATACATAACTGACCCAGTGATTAAAACTGCTGACATAACCATGTGATTTGACTGTCATGCTGCTCATTAAGATAGAACGTGTCAAATGGCCGTTTCCTTTGACAGGGATGATGGTGGGCGGTTATGTTTGGGGGTATCTGGCTGATCGCAGAGGAAGGCGGAGCATTCTGGTCATTTCTCTGGCAGTGAATGGCATATTTGGGGCGGTGGCCAGTTTGGCTCCAAGTTTCTGGCTCTTTTTGCTCCTGCGGTTCTTCAGTGGAGTCGGGTAATGACATGCCAAAAGAATTTTTACATCCACAGAGACATTCTGAAGGTTTACATAGAAATTATACAGACAGAATCTCGACACATTTGACTGGAATCACATGAATGCATCTGTGTCGCACTCTCAGGGTCGGCGGCTCCATTCCTGTCATCTTCTCCTATTTTTCTGAGTTTCAGCCACGTTTGAGGAGGGGGGCTATGATCAGCGCTCTAGCCACCTTCTGGATGGCTGGAAATATTTTAGCAGCAGGTAAAACCATCATCCTCTGAGCTAAGAGAGGAGTGTCTCTAAAATACTGTCTAGAAGGTTGTATAATTGTTTTTGTTCCGGTTTTGTTTTAATATTGAAACATGAGCAGTAAAGAACACAACCTGAAGATCTAGAGATATACTCAAAGATAAATAATAAAAAAAGATAAGAATACATAACCAATAATATATATATGAATAAAAATATAAAATATATTTAAATAAACATGCAAAAAATGCATAAGACAAAAGTAAATAACCAAAAATGTATCCATTAATAAATAAAAATATATTTAAATAAATAACAATACATGAGGCAAAATATAAAAAAGATAAAAATATATAATGTGCCACTATTTAGAAAAAAGGGTCTAAATAATAAGCTAATAAGTAGGCTGTACTCATTTATTGTCATTAGTGCAAAACATTGATGCATGAATATTGATTTTAATACATATTTTGTGTTTTTTTCCAGGTGTGGCGTGGTTGGTGATTCCCAGAACATCTTTGAGTGCTCATTGGGGCTGGTTGGATTTTCAGAGTTGGCGTCTTTTTGTGGTCCTCTGCTCCGTCCCCAGTCTGTCATCAGCACTTATTTTCAGACTGTTCATGCCAGAGAGCCCCAAGTTCCTCATGGAGGTGTGTACTGTAAGATACTTTACTTTTTATTTTACACTGATACAAAAGTTAAATTAATAGGCTGTGAATTCTAGAACTCCATGTGTCTGAACAAGTCAGTTCTAGAATTTAGTAGAACTGCAAATATGGCATGTACTGTATTAAGGTCCATTACAGGCTGCATGTTTGTCAGGTTTGGTGGCACATTATTTCACTATGTGTTTCTCTTCCACAGGCCGGACATGAGACAGAGGCTTTGTCTGTGTTCCAGAAGATGTTCAAACTGAACAACAGATGTGCCACAAAACCATTTCCCGTCAGTACCGCCTCAGTGATGTTTGCTTTCAATTCTAGGCTAAACCTTCCCACTTCTCATAAAGGAAACTATATTATTTTGGTTTGTCAGTTGATAAAACTGACAGTTTCTCTTAACAGGTACCAGGTCTTGTGATCAGATCCAAAGATGATGAAGTAAAAAACAGACCCACTAGCGGCTCAAGATGTCAGCAGTTCAGCCACCAACTCAAACAGGTTCAGAGCACTTTTGATGCATTATTGAGATTTTCTTTTCTGCTTTCTTAGAAGCTATTAATGCTAACATGAAGTCATACTGAGCTCTTTATGGCCTTGCTGGTTCTTCTACAGGCTCTGGACCCCATGAAACAGCTGTTTGTTGGACCGTTGGCTTCTAGAAGTGTAATTCTGCTGATTATATTTTTCTGCATTTCATTTGGGTACTAAACTTAAATTATTAAATGGTAAAGGCAAAATATTCTACCAATTTAAGGTGTCGAGGTTTTTACACCAAAGTCAGTCATAATTTAGTTGAATCTTAGAATTAAACAAGCTGTTTTTCTTTGCTGCTACATCATAACGTCGATATGTAAATGAGCTCTGTTCTGATTGGCTAAACACGACACGTTGTTTTTGCTACTGTACCTTTAAGATTTAAATCTGTTATAATTAGTTAACTTAATTTAAATGATGCAGATTATGAGTAAGTATGATTCAATGTTGTAATCCTCTCTGTGCAGGTATTATGGATTATGGATGTGGTTTCCAGAGCTTTTTAAGAGAACCGAGGATGGAGGGTCTCCATGCGCCAACGTGTCTCGAGTCCAAAACTCAGAGAATGAAAGCTGCTATCCAGTCAAAACTGCAGGTTAATGCTACTAAAACTGGACAGAATGAGACTAATCAATATTTTTCTCATCGGCAAAAGCACAAAAATATTAAATTTGTTAGTTATATTTTATTTTGTTGTCATGATATTCAAGTATTATTTCTCATGGCTTTGTGTCGTTTGCATGTGTTCATGTGTTTTTATAGTGTACATGGAGGGTTTTGTAACAGCTGCTTCAAACTTGCCGGGAAACATCTTCACTATCCTGCTCATGGACAGAATTGGTGGGAAAATCCTGCTTTGTTAGTACAACAGGTTTTGTCTTCCAATGTTTGAATGGCAGCTCAAAATATTTTATTACTACATTAAACAAAATATTAAAGAAATAATGAAGCGCTATAATGATGCATTATTATAATGTGGATTTTTCTCTGGTAGCCGTGAGTTTGCTGGTGTCCAGCATGAGCGTGTTCATCATCTATGTGGTGAAGACCAAAGCTCAGAGTCTGATCATGTCCTGCGTGTTCAGCGGTGTTTCTGTCATCTCCTGGAACGCTCTAGACGTGGTGGGAACTGAACTTTACCCCACACAATTACGGTAAACCCCAATATTCATTTGTAATTAAGCTATATTGGTACTGATTTCACATGCAGAGAGGTCAGTCAATCAAAACAGACATCATTTACACTACTGGTCAAAAGGAATAATTAAGATTTTTTTAATGTTTCTACAGTAGTAGAACATTTTTTTAAAGTCTCTACAGTAAACTCAAAACTACAGTAAAGACAGTAATATTATGAAATATTATATATATATATATATATATATATATATATGCTCAATTATTAGCAATTATTATTAGTATGCAATTATTAATAATGGCTCTTATCATCAGTGTTGAAACCATTTTTTGCTGCTTAATAATTTTGGAAATCATTATAGGATTCTTTGATGAATAGAATGATTTCTAAAGGATCATGTGACACTAAAAACTGGAGTAATGATGCTGAAAATTCAGTTTGCACCACAGGAATAAATGACATTTTACAATATATTCAAATAGAAAACAGTCATTTTCAATTGTAATAATGTCATAATTTTACTGTATTTTTTATCAAATAAATGCAGCCTTGGTGAGCAGAAGAATTCTGAGAATTGAAAGAATGAATGTATTAATTCCAGTTTCTATTCTTTAGCTCGTCAGCTCTGGGGGTTTTCACTGGAGTGGGTCGTGTGGCAGCCATCATGGGAAATGTAGTGTTTGGGCAGCTGGTGGACTCAAACTGTGCCATACCTCTGCTGATGGTGTCTGCACTCCTGCTGGCAGGAGGACTGGCGGCTCTACGCCTGCCTCAGACTAAACAGACTGAACTCACATGATGCACACACACTCAATTGACATCATCTGGCAATCCTGTCATTCTGGGACCAAACTCTAAACCAAAAAATACATAACAAAAATTATAGCATTATTGTGTACTGAATTATAGTCATATAATTTCTTGTTTATACCAAGGAAAAAAAAATTTGGGTGGTATTTGATTTTTATTTGATGATATGAATGTTTTTTTTTTTTTATGAAAATAGTTTATAAATGAAATCAGAGGATATTCAATTAACTGAAATATTTCTCTTTTGAGATATTTTTTTCTAACACTTTCTTGTTTGAACCTTGAAATAAAACCGAGCATCAAATGTTTCAGTGCTTCAACAACTTTATTTTGTCCAATCTGAACATTTGTAAATAACCATGGCAATACTTGCAGAGCAATGAGGTAGAGACTTTGAAATTCTAAAAAGCGGCTGCAAAAGGCAACGAGGAAGAGATTATACTCTTTGGCACAGCTTCAGCAAGAAACCAGAGCGGCTAACTAAGGTTAGGAGGCTTTAACACAAAACACCAAACTCAACGTGAGAATTCCACCTCTATCTGCTCAAACAAACAATTTTAAAACCACTGGCAAAGATTTCCCTAGTGCTACGTTAAAAAAAAGTGCTATGATTTGATAAAAACTATATACAGCACAGAACCATCCAGAGTTGCTAACATGTATCCGATCTGATGGATGATTGATGGCAGGGTGGTTGCTAAGCAACAGCATCAGCCAGCTGTGATGTCACTTCCTAGAACATTTCACAAGCCAAGATGCTCATCAACCATTTAATAGAGCGTTAAAAAGGGAAAATAAAAAAGGCCCTACAGGAAAAGACGCTTGAGGCAGGCAAACTTAAAAAATCTGTTTCATATGCTATGACCTAAACCAGCAGTAGAAAAGCAGGTAAAACCACCTTAAAAATCAATAAAATAAACCAAAATAATGGTATTAAAACACTGGTAACAAAAGAGAAGCCGAAGGCACCGACTGGCTTTTGCCTGCATCAGAGAGTCAAGCCTGCGAGATAAACTAATAATCTGTGCATGCAAAATAAAACACAACTCTTTAAAATCAGATCTCCATGGCGATGGCTGTCTGGTTAGCTGTGCAAACAGGTCACCATCAACGAACGCTTTAGTGTGCATAGAGCCTTAATGAACGAGAACGAGAGCAGTGCAATACAACGCAGTGACTTCCTCAAGTGAGTCGCTCTTGACTCACACTAACATCCTTCCCCAAAACAGTGAACTCAGTCCGGACTCTTCCCCACGCCGGCAGCGGTGGGTTTATTTGGGGTTCAGGCCCTTCTGGTTGCGCATGAGAGGTTGATGGCTGCTCAACACATCCAGAGAATGCTGCCAATGCCAGCATGACCGACAGTAGTATTTAAAACAGGCCTGAAGAGTTGAAAAAATTAAATTGCTATGAATCACGTGTATAGGTGGTGTATAATTTGTATGAATGTCACACGATCATCATTTTCAACAGTACTGGAAAAGGAGTTTGACACATTATACTTAAGATATTAAAACACACTTTAAACTTATTTAACAAATTTGTGTTGATCAATAATAATCTATCTTAGATTAAAAATTTCAAAAAAAATTCAACTGTGTGCGTGTGTG